GCTGCCTGGGCGGCTTTGCTCGGGTGTCCCTGGTCTGCTGGGGGGGGTCCAGCGGCTTTGCTGGACCTCCCCAGCAGACCAGGGAGACCGGGAGAAGCTTTTCTCGCCCCGGAGGACACGGGTGGCGATCTGCCGCCCGTGAGCTCCGGGGCGAGAAAAGCCCCGTTCGTAAGTCAGATCCGCGTAAGTCGGGGACTGCCTGTATAAGATTCCAACTATTTCATTAGTTACCAATGCTCACAGAATTCATCTTTGTTGCACTTGTCACTTTCAGCACAATAGGTAGAGGCCCTCAGTAGACAATGAGACACCTCTCAGATACCACATTAAAAACAAATGAGCCTTATTTCCATTGAGAGAAAGTTACTTTATGTCATGAGCTTCAGGAGTAGCTAGCAGAGGTCAGGTTTAATGAAGAAGAATAGAATGTAATATCCTTTGTGTTGATTTGAAAGGTCAGTTCTAAGATTCTGAATACAAATCCATATGATAGAGGCATTAAAAATAGTAATTTAAAAAAATGTATTTAGCTTACTAGTAAAATTATATTAATAAAATAATTTTTTATCATTTAACACATGGTTCTTTAGTTCAGCAACTAGATGCTAGAATCCTGTTGAAAGCTGAACCCCTGCTTCATAAAGCTACACCAAAAAATGCGTATTAGACTGGATGCAGAAAGCAATTGAAGTAGGTTAACTCATTTATAATACATACAGCTTTTTTTCAGATGTTAGAGTGGAATAGTGTACATGTTTAAATGGTTAACTGATGAGCCTAGGCTCATCAGTTAATCTTCACCGTTACACACACAACAACCACAGACGGGTGACAGTGTTCATGGGGCAGCAGTGCAGGGAGCGGAAGCAGCTCAGCCAGAGCCGGTACACAAGGAAGATGGCTTAAAAGCCGCCCGTCCTCCCTCCCCACCCCCATCCACATGAAAACATGTAACCACTGAAAACAGCAGTTACACATTTATTTTAAAAAAAACAACAGCATTTGTAAATCCATAATGTGTGCGTGTACACACACACACACCCCTACCTACATATAAATAAAAGTCTGATTGATAAATGACAAATGCACAGAAAATATAAAATTGTATACAGTACGAGATGGACTTCAGTTTTGCATTACTAACCGTCTAAACTACCATGAGTTTTCATGGGCAAAACCCACTTCTTCAGATGAGCTGGACGCTGGAATGGAAGTGACAGAAATCCAGAATGTATACATTTTTGTTAGTCTCAACGGTGCCAAAGAACTACTCATTGTTTTTAAAGTTACAGACTAACTGAACTACCACTTTGAGTCTAAACTACAGAAGTATTCCGTTTAGAAGTGACAGTAAAATACATATATTTGCATTAAACAACAATAGCAATCTCTCTTGGTAATGCTATGATAAAACATTACGAAGTGGAGAGATCATTATTTCTTTACATTTCCAGGAGACCAAGTTTGCTTGTTTCCTAAGTCAGTCATGCAAAAATCAGAAGAAAAAAAACAACAACAACATGAGGACTGCTAAACAAGGGTATTATTTTCAACAACTACAAAGTGTGAAAAAGTTGTGCTACTGACAAAGTTACATTTTTTCAAATCTTCAGTCCTACAGACACCTGGATCAGGAAAGTGCTTAAAACAGTGCAGAATGGCCATTTACATTAAAAGGCCGGCATATTATAACTAATAAATATCACAGAGGAGTAGCCATGTTGGCCTGAAATTAAAAAAAACTTCAACAACAAAGGTCCTGCAGCACCTTAGAGACTAATAATAATATATAAATATTATCATGAGCTTTCGTGGGCACAACACACCTCTTCAGACAACAAATATGGATCTGAAGACGTGAGCTGTGCCCACAAAAGCTCCGGACACTACTCATATATTTTGTTAGTCTCTAAGGTGCTACAGGACCATCATTGTATTTTAAGTTTTAATAAATATCAGTTTAGCTTTCAGTTCTTGTCACTGGATTCTAATTATTGATTGGGTAGCCTTGTTAGTCTTTATCTGCAAAAACAACGAGTCCTGTGGCACCTTAAAGACTAACTGATTTATTTGGACATAAGTTTTCATGGGTAAAGAACCACAAAGTCAAAGTAGGTCTTTGCCCACGAAAACTTATGGCCAAATAAATCTGTTAGTCTTTAATGTTAGTCAAAACTCCTCTTAACTATTGACTAATTTTTATAAAGATCCTGTGTACACTCAAAGGACCAAATGGGTAGTACAGCTGTATAAATCTGAAACAAACTGCTTAGTTCTGTTTAAAGCATATTTAAACATTTTATAGAAAAGTCATCTCCGAGTTTCCTGTTATACCACAAACATAAGCAATTTAGTGTTCTGCTTCATTTGGGAACAATTCCCTTTAACATGCGGACAGATCCTCACTGAAGTTAACAGGACTATTCAGAAGCTTCAGAGGGGTAGCCAAGTTAGTCTGTAACAGGAAAAACTTAAAAAAAACAACAAGTAGACTAGTAGCACCTTAAAGACTAACAAAACATGTTGGTATCATGAGCGGTCGTGGGCATAACCCACTTCTTTCTCCGGTCATCTGAAGAAGTGGGTTGCACCCAGGACAGCTCACGATCTCATCGACGTGTTTTGTTAGTCTTTAAGGTGCTTAGTGATAGAAATGTAGCCTTGTTAGTCTGGTGTAGCTGAAACAAAATACAGGACTATGTAGCACTTTATGTAGCACTTTGAAGACTAACAAGATGGTTAATAAACCATCTTGTTAGTCTTCAAAGTGCTACATAAAGTGCTACATAGCCCTGTATTTTGTTTAAGGCGCTTGTCTCTGTGTTGTGTTTTAAGGACGATTCGGGCAATATACCATTTGCACAAACCAGCCTGAGAAGAAGAGCGCGAGTGAATTGCAAAGTTTACCATGTCGCCAGGGATCCTTCGGTTCCACAGACCCAGACACGATGTCCTCGTCGGAAGGGAACGTGACCCGCTTTGCTCCATTCTTCAGCTTGCCCTCTTCACACGGCGGCTCCACGTGCGGGTCGCCCTCCGGGCTGGGGGCGTCCGAGTCCAAAGCACCGCGGCGGGACGGCGGCGAGGCCGGCTTCCCCTGCGGCAGGGAGGTCTCCTCCTCCTCCGGGCATCCTCTGTCGGCGGCCGCGCTGCTCCGCTCCGCAGGCGGGCACGAGG